TTTCTGAACGCAAGGTCAAATGGCAATTTATTAAAGAATCTCATAGTTGCTCTCAATGATGAATGAATGAAAGAAATAGCATTGAGTAAGCACCTACAATGTGCCAGGCAATGCCTTCCTTCCATTTTTTAATCCATCTTTTTTTCTTTACATTGATTTACATTATATTACATTGCTTTACATTTTCTTTACACTACATTTCTTTACAATTACTTCCCAATTATCCTGCCCTCTTGATACCCTTGCCCCCACTATAGCACCCTATGCCTTGTAATAAAGGAGTATAATTCAGCAAAACAAACCCACATGTTGCTTATGTCTGACCCTTCATTGCACATGGAGGAAGGGATGTTTCATAGTTCTCCATCAGCCCTGTGAGGTTGAGGTCAGTCATTGCTTTGATCAAACATCAGTCTTTCTGTGTTGTTTCACCCTTTACATTATTGGGGTCATTGTGTAAATTATTCTCTTGCCTTTGTTCAATTTACCTGAATTAATTCATCCAAATATTCTCACGTTTATATTCCTCTAGAGCCAGTGCATACATACTTTATTATTGTTGTTCAGTCATTTGCAGTTGTATCTGACTCTTTGTGTCTGCATTTGGGGTTTTCTTGGCAAAGGTAGTGGAATGGTTTGCCATTTTCTTTCTCTAGCTCGTTTTACAGATGAAGAAACTGAGGCAAATGGGATTAAGTGACTTGTCCAGTGTTGCACAACTAGTAAGTGTCTGAGGTGGGAATTGAACTCAGTTCTTCCTAACTCCAGGTCCAGTGCTCTATCCACTAAGCCACCTTGATGCTCCTGCATATATATTACTCACTCCTTTTTCTATGCTGTGCAACATGACATAGTTGATTGAATGATGGACTTAAAGTTAAGAGACCTGGATTCAAATCCTGCCTCAGATACTTATCTTTCTGATCCTAGAAAAGTCACTTAACCTAATGAAGGCTTGTTTCTTAAAGATAACCCATCTGTAATTTTTGGTGGCACTAGCCCAGTCAAGAATTGCTACCATAAACTTCTGTTTCTATAAATAAATCTGCATGACTTAACCATTTGTTTGGTACTATATTGTTGACACATATTTGTGTTCATGTGAATGTCTCCTATTAAAGGTCTTTTGGCTACACCTCTAGATTTTTTTTTTTTTGCTTTTTGGTGAGGAAATTGGGTTAAGTGACTTGCCCAGGGTCACACAGCTAGTTAAGTGTCAAGTGTCTGAAGCTGGATTTGAACTCAAGTCCTCCTGACTTCAGGGCTGGTGCTCTATCCACTGCACCACCTAGCTGCCCCAAGTATTGCTTTTTCTATGGCTGGCTTAGGGCCCTATGTTTTATTAATATTGTACAGGCTTCAGTTAGAATATTTTCCAAACTTTTTATGGTTCATCTTGTCATTCCTAAAGTGTACATTAAGAATGGAATAGTATAGGAGTTAATTGCTTTAAATATGCCATTCTCGTTAAGTTTTGATTTCAAGATGCCAGTAAGTGTCTTAACATTTTCAATTACAGCTTCTTCCTCAATAGCTCAGTGTGTCTTGCCTGGAGTAGACTAAGGTATTTGTAAATGTCACTTTTATTTATTGGTCCAATTTGGCCTCTGTATTTGACTTCAAACTTTTCTATCTTTTCTTTCTCTTTATCTATTCTAAAGTCTCTATCTTTCCTTGGAGTATGTTAATAATTTCACACTTACCAATTCCAGTTAACGTTTTGATATCATTAGAGAATGATTCTATGTGATAGTGGAGCTATTTAATATGTTTTTGGTGGAGCCATAGAGCATGATGTCATCTCTGTGTATCAAATGCCTGTCTTTAATCTGGAAGCCATGTTTAGTTCAATTTAACAGAAACAGTAATGGATTTAAGGATAGAAAGAACCATAATGGGGTTGAACTGTCTCTATGAAAAATATCTCACTTAATAATATTTTTTCTTGATATTATTATATTGATGGCATGTTTTAAGTAGAGAATACTTTTCTATGTGAGCAACAAACATTATAGTTATCTCATTAAACTTGGATCAGTTTTATATATTTATAGCATGTGAATAAGCCATGAGTGAGGAACTGAATCAGAGGTTTTGCCATAATTTTTAAAGGTGTTGTAAATGTGCTTTTGCGAGATGTGTTCAACAATCACTGAATCTATAACATTTTACTCTTTATACTCCTGGGATTTTTTGGCACATTGTTTTTGCTACTCAGCAAATATATTGTTTTCTTGTGTTTATAAATTTTTCTTTGTGGTGCAAGCTGTGAACGCCTTATATAAAGTCCATAGACATGTTCTTGGCCTAATATTAGAGGGATCACTCATGTTTTCATCTTTGGGTAACAGTTATGTGATCCCTTCTATTAAGAAAGAAGGAATTCGACTTGTATATGAGAAGAAGCTGAAGTGTTTTGCTAGTGTAGCCTTATTTCTCTAGGAAGTTAGATTATCGCTGATATATATGCTGTAAGGACAGGAGAGAAATCATCAATGTATTCTGATCCAAGAATCACTGGGGCTGTGATTACTCTGAGAAAACACAGTCCACCAAGTCTTCCCTGGTCTTGAAGGAGGGAAAGAGCTGAAATATCAAGAGGCAAGAAGTGTCATGTTCCACTCTTAAGCATTTGAGCCAATAATTTTGAATCTTATTTGGCCCCATTACTTTCTAGTGTTGCAAAGAAATTAATTTCCGTCACCTCCCTTGACATAATTGTTCTGTCATTCATTATATTAATAGTATACGAGTTTTCTGTTCCTTGTTTGATGTAACATGTTTCTGTTGTGTTGGACTTCTTAGGACCATAAAGAGGAACAGAAATTTTTCACATCTTCTTTCTTTGAGGTGGAGGAGCTGGTGGGGTTTCTTTCCTCTAATTTCTTTGCTTCTCAAGCTGACATAAGAAAAGTTTTGATTGATGTCAAATTCTTTATGTTGTTCTTTGTGTTGCTTTGATTCCTGGTAGCCCTTAGCTTTTTGACTTCACCTTTTGACTTATAATTATCTCATTTTTTTATGAAATGATGGTAATAATGCCAAGTTCTAATTACTCCACAACTCTTTGCCTGTCATTGACAAGAGCTGCTGAAAGGGGAAGTGAAAGGGTACACAGGATATGGTTTGCCTACTTCTGAGTTCTTCTCTAGGGTCAGTCAAACCTATTTCTTTTTGTCCCTACGCTTTCACTATCTAGGATTTTGATTCTCCTTCTGGCCTCTGGACATACCTTCCTTCAAGTTCTGCCATTCCTTCAGGGTATATGCTTTGATCCCAAGACTTAGAGCTGGAAGGGATCTGACAAATGGCTTAATATAACCCTCTTATTTAACAGATGAGAAAACTAAGTCCCCGATAAGTGACTTGCCTACAGTCACACAGGTAGTGAGTAGAAGAGCCAAGATTTAAACCAGGTCCTTTGATCCCAAATCCAGTTTTCTTTCCACTACAAAACCGGGCCTCATAGTTGCCTCTTAATCTCTTTCCCTTGGAAAGTTTTGGCTGCTCACACCCTTGAAGATTGCCCTGGACTTCTCAAATGCTGTTCTGGAGTCACTTCTGTGTCCATGCTGACCTCGCCGCTGCTATGACACCACCATGTTTTTGTTGCTTACAAATTCCCCCCCTGAATCTTTCAGCTACCTGCTCCATTTTTCAGTGCAGTCCAGTTCTTCCCAAACTAAATTTGGCCACAGAACACTTTAGAGATTGAATATTACCGATGGATACTAGAAGAAGGAACATAGCTGGGGCTGTGTCTGAGAGATGAACTATGATAATTTCTGTAGGAACTGTGTTAGAGAGAGAGAAAGACAGAGAGAGAGAGAGGGAGAAACACTTAGGTGAGTTAGTGTTGGAGGACAGGGCTAGTGTACAGATGTCAGACTACAGTATGTGAGAGATTGTGGGAGTAAATGACCGGGTAAGATGTGAAGGGGATAGCAGCTCAGTGGCAGTTGCCTAGTATGCCTTCTCATTTCCCTCCATGTCAGTATGTAGCATCTGGTTGTCACAGCCAGTGTGTCAATTTCTTGCTATCTATGTATGGATTTAAGGTTGGGTTCTGTATTGTTCCTGAGCTGAGAGATCGGAGCAGTGACTGTATGAGTCAACCTAGAGTTACATATTTGACCCTTAGGAACTGAGTTCAATACTTCCTCCTGAGAGGACTGCTCAAGGATGGACACTGAGATAGGACTTTGAAACTTATTGACAGGTTGGTTTGTTTTAAGGGTCTTTTGTCATAGGAGAGGGTTCTATTGGGATGAAGGAGAGTATTGAGAAATTATAATGACATGAAAAAAATGAAATCATCAGTAAAACTTTAAAAAAATAAAAAATGTTGACCAAATCCATGAATGATGTTCTAAGGCTAACAGAAAAAAGGAGGATGATGATGGGAGGCAGTGCTTCCTAGTGGATAGAGATCTAGCCTTAGAGTCAAAAAGATCTGGGCTCAAGCCCTGCCTGTAGCATTGGCTCTTTGCCCCTGGCTCTATGCTCCAGGCATTTCTGTAAGACTATAACCTGCAGAACAGTTATAGATCTGGTTTCCTAGAGGGAATTTCTTCACCTTCAATAGCCTGCCCTAATGAAATCATAGATCTGGATGGGTTTAAAAAAAAAAAAGAAAGAAGAGAGTACTTTGTAGAACTATAGAAGAAATGAAGCCTATTTTCATATAGAAAATTGCCACATATAGTGAGAATTTTGATGCATAATTTAATGCTTAATATGTTAAAGGAAAAACTCTGCAGAATCATCAATTTCTCACGCATGTACTCCATTCACATCACTCCATTGTACTCTATTCACATTGGAACTGCTGGGTTCTCCAAAACACAATTTGGGAAATGCTTACCTGGCCCATCTGCAGGGATCCATACGTCAGTCCCACACTACTCTCATAGGCTTGACAGGGAGCTTGCCACCCATTTCTAGAGAATGACTGTTTCCATAATCCTCCTATTTTATGCAGGTATCATGACTTTCCTTACCTGTCTAGCTCCTCCATGCCCAGAATGCTCATCACTGCTCTTGCCTGATTTTTTCCCCTTCACTCCATTTCCACTTTCATTTCCTAGTCAGAACAGACCAAAAAATTAACCCACAGCACCTCTGCAATCCTGAAGACACTTGCATAAACCTGTGTGTTCTACTCTGAAGAAAAGCTCTCATTTTGGCAGCAGGGCTGGCTCCCATTTCAATCAGTCCCTCTTTCCCAGCTCATCTATGGGTCTTAGATATAAAAGTTATCTGGCACAGGCTGGCTACAGATTATGCTTTAACTAGCCTAGGATTCATAGCATTGTGCAACCTGCTTTAGGTCTCCAGCAGACCCATTTGCAATTTTCAAAGCGGGCATTCCTCCCCCTTCCCCCAAATATTTTAAAGGCATGTTTGACCAAACCACAACATACATGGTTTTAAAACAAAGTTAGACTGTGGTTTCCACTTACCCCTTCTTCCTTTGCCAGGGAGCAGTCTGTGCAGCAGGGTCTCAGCCTTTACTTTCTTTCCAGGATGTGAGCAAAAGGCCCTCTGTATTGGCTTGCAGGGAGCAGCTTTGTAAACTGTCTTAAAGGTGAAGGGCTGCTGCACATTGCTTGTTGCAATTCAGGAGGTGTGTTCTGTGACATACTTTCCATAGAGGTGTTGTCCTTTAATTTTTTAAATATGGCGTCTCTCCCTTCTTATTCACACACTGCTGTTGACATAAGTCACTAAAGGGGAAAGTGTATCCTCCGTGGTGCTGAGATTATCCTGGGAGGGTCTGCTGATAACCCTGATTAGGACCGTATTTACAAATGTTCCTCTACAGGAAATTAAGGAAAACTTACATTTTATCCAAGAGCCAAGTAACCATTAAAAAGTAATGGTTCATTTTCATTTTTCTAATGCATTTCATTCTCATTACAGAAGAGCTCCTTTTGAGATTTGCCTTCTTTGGCTTAATCATTCATAGATGCTGAACTTGAGGTGTTTTCTAACTAAAAAGAAAACAAAACAAAACAAAAAAGTCCAGAAAACTGCTCCACTGGGCAGTGACTTTACTGTTATTCAGCTCTGTGTCACCTGAGAGGATAGCAGCTGTTTGAAAATTGGAATGCTTTCCTAGCCTAAAATGCTGCCATTTGCAAACATTTGTGAACACAGGGAATAATGATGCAACTAAATCTATGGAGAGTTGCATAGGACACTGTGTTTCCCATCTGTCAGGAGGCTCTGGTTTCACAAGGAATTCTATTCCTCATCATTTAGGGTCATAATCCACACTTCTCGGGTTCTTAGCATTGAAAAATGTTTAAGTTGAGTATACTGGTATGAAAGTGAAGAAATCAGAGTCTAATAAGAGCAAGGTTGGAAAAGCCTACCCTGATAGTTTTATTCCAGCCATCATATTTTGGGTTTGGACTTGCTGCAAATTGTGGCATATCTATGATGTCCTTTGCCCTATACCTAGTGATATGCTGGAAAATATTTAACAACCAGCTCTCTGGGAAAATATATTCAAGACACACTTTTAATCTGGATTATGAACATTTTCTCCATCACTTTCTTAAGTTTAGACAATCAACAAAACAATGAATCAACCCCTGACTTGTAGCATTTGCTAATTTCTGAGGTGTAAATGCTCACACTAAAAATGTAATGGTCAGCTCTCATGAACTGTTGTGAGCTGGCTCCAGTACACCCCTGCCTATATTCATGTCCCACTTTTTTCTCTAACTTGAGATTGTAGGTTCATAGTGCATCAGCCCCTCTGGACTTATTTTCTCAGTCTCTCCTCGCACTGACAGGATGTGTCTCCAGAGAGTGGCAGTTTCTCCCTTCTGGGTTTTAGGGTAACCCTGAGGGGTTGTGGGATGTCTGGTATTATTGATCAGAAGCCTTCTATTTGATGTGCTCCCCACTGATTATAAATTAGCTAGTCAGAGTTAATTAGCTTTGTAGAAAGGGGTATTTACAGAAATAATATAATAAGAATAATTTGTAGTACCACATCTTAAACCATATTATAAGGCAGTAATTATCAAAACTATCTGGTACCGGCTAGGAAATAGAAAGGTAGATTAATGGAGTAGAGTAGACATAGAATTTACAGCAGCAAATAAACACAATAACCTTGTATTTGACGAGTATAAAGACTTAAGATTTGGGGATAAGAATTCATTATTTGGTAAAAATTGTTGGGAAAACTGAAAGCAGTATGGCAGAAACTGGGCATAGACCAATATCTTACACTATTTACCAAGATAAGGTCAAAATGGATACATGACCTAAATATAAAGAGAGATTTTACAAGAAAATTAGAAGAACACAGAACATATTATTTATCAGATTTATGGATAGGCAAATAATTTATGAATAAACAAGAGATAGAGAGCAAAGTTAGGTATAAAATGGTTCATTTTGGTTATGCTAAATTAAAAAGTTTTTGTACAAATAAAACAAATGTAGCCAAGATCAGAAAGAAAGCAGAAAATTGGGGGGGAAATTTTATAGTTTATCAGATAAAGGTCTCATATCTAAAATATATCAAGAACTTTGTCAAATCTATAAGGATATGAGTCATTCTCCAATTGATAAGTGGTCAAAGGATGTAAATAGGCATTTTTCTAAAGAAGAAATCAAAACAATTTATGGTCATATGAAAAAATGTTCTAAATCAGGGATGGGGAACCTGCGGCCTTGAGGCCACATGTGGCCCTCTAGGTCCCTTTGACTGGATCCAAACTTCACAGAACAAATTCCCTTAATAAAATGTTTTGTTCTATAAAACTTGGACTCAGTCAAAAGGACACCTAAGGACCTAGAAGGCCACATATGACCTGGAGGCCACAGGTTCCCCACACCTGCCCAAATCATTATTGATCAGAGAAATGCAAATTAAAACAAACTTGAGGTATCATTTTACGTCTACAAGATTGGCTAAAATGATAGAAGGGGAAAGTGACAAATATTTGGAGGGAATGTGGACAAATTCATTGTGAGTGGAATTGTGAACTGATCCAACCATTTTGGAGAGCAATCTGGATTTATGCCCAAGGAGTTATTAAACTTACCCTTTGACCCAGCAGCACCAATACTTAGTCTGTTTCCGAAGATAAGTAGGTAAAAAGGAAAAGAACCTATATGTTTTAAAATGTTTATAACAACTCTCTTTGTGGTGGCAAAGAACTGGAAATTGCAGGGATGCCCAAGAACTGGGGAATGGCTGAACAAGTTGTGGTACATGATTGTGATGGAATACTACTATGTTAAAATAAATGATGGTCAGTGATTTTAGAAAAATGTGGAAAGACCTGCATGAAATAATGAAGAGCAAAATGAGCAGAACCAAGAGAACATTGTAGATAGTAACAGCAATATTGTGTTAAGAATGAGCAAATAAGTTATTTTGTCTATTATAAATACCCAAATTAACTATAAATGACATATGAAGAAAGATGCTATCTGCATCTAGAGAAAGAATGAATAAATAGAAGTATGCATAGAATAATTTTACATATATATACCTACTTGTGACTAATGGTAGCCATTTCTAGGGTGGGGAAGGGGGGAGGAAAGAAAAAAAAGAAATTTACATGATAATTTTGTTGTGTATTTGAAAGGAATAATAAATTATGCATAGTAGATTTATAGTTTCATGTCCAATCATCTTTTTATTATACTATGTTATGAAAATGCTTGTTTTTATTCCATAAATTAAAAATAGAAAAAGAATAATTGGTATGAAAATTTCCCTCCAAAGTCAGGGACACAATCTCCCAAAAGTATATACAGAGTCCAGAGGAAATGGGCTCAGGCATAGAGAATGCATGTGGCCAAAGAGTAAATCATGCCTCCATGGTGTGTGTAGCTGTCTGCTCAGACCTAGGGGTTGACACCCTTGTAGAGTCCTGACGTTGCCTTTCTTTCATCAGTCTAGTTGATCCTTGGGCTCCCGTTGCTCCTGGGATACTACTACCGTCTCTGATGGGAAGTTCAAGTCTTCTAACCTTTAGCAGTTCACAAGGTCATCTTCTAGTCTTTGGGGAGCATGATTCTCCTCAGCTTACAGCCCTTCCCCCTCACCCTCCCTTGATGCCCTTTGGTGCATGTGCAAGGGGTGTCCCATCTCAAGGAGACCATGCAACTTGACCGCCTTTTCTTGCTTTAATCCCTTCTCTGAAATACATAAGCACAGAGGTATGTTTAATTTTTTTTTTTACCAATCCCAGTATATTTCTGATATTATCCAAAGGTTCCTCCTCAATCTCCCCAACGATTTAAGGACTTGTCCCAACCTTGCTTATGCCTTTGATCAATGGATTCAATAGAAGTGTCTAGGTCTTATACTTTTGGTGTAACTGTAACTCAGAAAGACTTTCTTGATAAAAGGTATCAGGGCATAGGGCTTCTTTTTGGTTCCAATATATAGAGTTGAATAATGTGGGACACTCCTGTTACAATAAGTGGGATCATAGATTTTGAACTGGAAGGGAACTTAGTGGCCATATAAATGTAATGAGGCTGAATAATCCTTTAGGGACTATGTCAGGCAACATGTGCTTAGAATTCCCCTGGGAACTTTTAGGGGGCTCCAAGGACATGGTGGTGACTTATTGCTTGCACCTTTTGGAGATGATGAATTTATTGGGTGCTTCTGGCCATTTAATTACCCATTGCTGAAAAGACGTGGCTTTTGAGAATGATGTTTCCAATCCTGAGTGGTCTCTTGGTCTTTCCCCAACCTATGACAGCATTAATGGGAGTGTGGTGCTATATCTGTTAATAGAAAAAACAAGTTAAGGCTCAGTCTCTTGACTACTACTCTCCCATAGGGCAAGTATTGTGTTCTCGGTCTCTGGCGTGGTATAGAGCAGCCAGGGATGGCATTCATTCTTCTATGGATTCAACTAGATAAGTTTGTTTCTAAGCCCTTGCCAGCCTTTTTGTTTCTTTTCCTAAATAGGTAATCCTGTAAGTTCAAAAGGTCAAGAGGTCCATGAAATAGCTGTGCAATATTCACCATACTCTGAGTGGTGATGACCCTGGAGCAGCAGGCTGGTGACAAAAATAAGCTTCCACCCTGGAAACAGTGGTCACCAGAAAGAAGAATGGTCCAAGTTGGGCCATTTGATTGGATGTTGCTGAACCAAAGTAAAATGTAAAATGCCTGATTAGCCTGATTGCAGAACTGCTTTATATTTTGGTGATGTCTTAATATTAGCTTTTTTGCTGATTGTAATTTTAGTTATAATTTGTTACTAAATATTATTTTAAGTTAGTTTTTGTCAAATACGAACTTGTGAGTGTCTTTGCTTAGTATACCTTTTGTGTGTAGGAATAAATTAGTCATCCCATACTGGATTAATAGTGTACATTCAGTACCTTTTTCTTTTTTTTAACCATTCCCTCAACCCCTTTTTGCGAGGTTCTAATCTTTATAAGTAAATGATTCCCAGGATTAGGACAAGTTTTGTTTTTCCCAAGCTGTTGTGTGTGAGCATTGGAAGTCTAGCTCCTCTCTTATTAAAAGGTTAGGCTCATCAGGACTGAACCCTGTCCAAATTCCATGCCTGGGCACAGAACAGTATGCAACATA